TTTCCTCTTTTTCTTTGCGATAACTCGGTGAAGTTTTGGCATTGGCGCTGCCTTACGCACACTGCGGTATTTACACGAGCTATCCTCTACAGGCGGCCGGGACGCATCCCTCACCGGTCACCTTCCTGAAAATCCCCCTGAGTCTCTGTTTCCGGCTCTGCTTCCTCTGCCTCTGGTCCTTCAGTCAACTGCCTTTTCAGCCCTTCCATCAGCGCCCGAAGGTCTTCAGGGTGGAGGCGTCGTGCCCGGCGGACCTTGGGGTGTGGGCAGTCTCGCTGGATGTGCCCCGGGGTGTTACAGTTGTAGCACCGCCTCTGGTCAGTTCTCGAGCGGTCGAGATCCATTGGCTGTGGGCCCGCTCCCGTTGTGGGGCGGGCTGCTGGGGTAGGAGGTGGAGGAGCGGGTGCGAGTCGAGGGGCGTGGGTGTGGGTCGTGCGTGAGGTGGGGTCACGGTCGGCAGGGGTCGGGTTGACGGGAGCAGGGGTTTAGGTGGAAACGCACGCGGTTGGGTGGCTTGGAAGCGTCGCCACTGGTTGTCTAGGAGGGTGGCCTCGCGTTTCCACTCTGCCCAAGTAGTGGGCATGGGGCGGAGCCGGTATATGCTCTCCCGGAGGCGGGAGTTAATGGCCTGCTCGAAACGGTCAACCAGTCCCACATCGCCCAGCCTTGAGGCGGGCCCCAGTATCTCGAACTCTTGGATGACCTTGTCCACAGAGTTGCTCCCCTGTCGGATGGCTGCCAGCTTCTGTCTGGCCGTGGCCTCCCGGTTCGGGTCCTGGAACATGGCGTCGAGTTCAGTGTTGAACTCGTCCATGGTGAGGGAGGGGGATCCGGCCGTCAACAACGTGATCGTGCGTTGCGTTGCCCATGCCCCTGCAGGTCCTCCTTTCATGTAGGACAGCACGAAAAGAATTTGGGAGAGGGCGGTGGGGAATTCAGCCACGCGAACGTGGAAGTAAATCCCGCACTCGGCCTTGAAGCGGTCCAGGTCCTCGCTGGCTCCTGAGAAGGGAGTGGGGGGGGCGACCTTGGGTGGTTTGGGTCTGGGCGTGGGAGCGGGTGCAGGGGCTGGCGCAGGAGCGGGTGCTGGAGCAGGTGGGGGTGGGGGATGGTTGCGGGCCTGGTTCTCCACAATGGCTTGGAGCTCTTGGAAGCGAGCTAGCAGCTCCTCATACTGCTCTTCTGACACCATGGCTGGGGAGGCAGGGGAGATAGGGGAGGCGGGGGAGACGAGGTTGAAACCTTCTTCTGCTGTCAGGGACGCATCCGGGGTGGAGGGGGCCCAGCTGTAGCGCCCGGCAGAGGGACCCTCTCGGGGGACGAAGCGGGCGCGCGTACTGACGGGCCTGATCTGGGACTATAGTCCCTGGCCACTTAGACTGAAGTGGAAAACGTGAATTGTTATTAAAAGGAAGAACTACACTACTTACCTGAAGTGGAAAACATGAGAAGAAGGTTACTTCTTCAGTTCCCACTTCAGGTACATTTATGTACATGCGGCTTGGGTCACGTGACGGGTGCCACGTCATCTGCGGAGAGGGCCGCAGCCATCCGGGTATCCCCGCGGGGGATCCCGAGGGCGTCCGCGCGTGCTGGGCGTAGCGGGAGGTCGCCCAGGGTGTCCGAGCCGGACGGGTCAACAGTACAATGATACAAGGGAAGGTGGTCCATGTAAATAGAAAGAATAAACAGAAAGGGAGAGTGAAATAAAGGAGGAAGAGAAAAGAGGGAAGAGGGAGGAAAGGGGAAGAGGGAGGAAAGGGGAAGAGGGAGGAAGGATGGGTAGCGGGGAGCGGGTGAGCGGGTGAGCGGGTGAGGTGGGCCCAGGTGGGCCCAGGTGGAACCGGGTCAGGCGGGTGTGCCCTGACAGTTATAGAAGAAACGACGAAGCGCGGCTTCTCCGTAACCGTGAAGTTGGGAGGCATGTCGATTGAACTCGACGACGTATTTGTTGATGTGGTGCCTGTCCTTCATGTCCAGTGTCATCAGTTGAACCTCGGCGTCGCCCACAGGATCGTGAGGGCCGAAGTTAGTTTGAAGTTCATTAACGAACTCTTGATAGTCGTTCATCCATCGCGGACGAAGCGTGGAATTCTGGTCGAATAACAGGTCCGGCTCGAACCAATCGAGGGCCATTCCCTTGAGGTAGGACTGCGCAAATATGACTTTAGCACGGTCGCTAGCGAAAGCGAGGGGACGGTCCTGGAAGTTGAGCTCGCATTGGACCAAGAATACTCGGAGTTCTCGGGGATCCTTTCCGTCAAACTGTTCGGGTTCGCGGACCTTGGTCCGGAGAGCAGAAGATGGTCATCGTCGTCGTCGTCCGGTGTGACAAGCCAGACTGGCAATGGCTTGGGCCAATTGTGTAATGGCCACGTTGGAGGTGGGTTCGGGATCGTCGGTGGTTGGGACAGTGGGAATGGGAGGATCAGCAGGAGGAGGGTCGACGAAGTTGGGGACCTCGGAACCGAGTCCAAAGAAGTGGGCGGGATCTATGGGTTGTTCCGTGGTGTCTCCGAAGTCGGAGTCTGCGACTGGTGATCGATTCCTAACGGGGCGCATGATCGGAGTCGATGGGAGAGGGGTTTCAAGGTTAGAAAAGCTTCGAAACTCAACTGGGTTTCTCACCAATCGACTAGGACCAGGCTGAGAGGGTTCTGGGGAAGGTGAAGCGGAGTTGGGGACTAATGTGCATAGTTGCGAACGAGTGCGAAGGACTTTTGGTGCCATACAAGACGTGTACTAGTCAGGGAGTAGAAAAATACTGTCAGAGACCAGACTTGAGATGAAAGAATGTCTCCGTAACGGAGGGCTTCGGCCTCAGCGACTTCTGCCAGGAGCGCTGTGCCTAGTGACACGTCCGTGCCCTAACTTACTGACTGGCAATTAGAACCTAGGGGGGGGATTTTTCTACTGGGGCGTAACCTATGTACAAGTGGGATATATATATGGTTACAGCGGAGACGGTTCCGCGATTGGCGGAGCCGAACGGAGCGGAGCTAACGGGGTTTAACCATTAGCCGACTGAATATTACCGACGAGTCGGTTCACGGGGTTAGCGGAAAGGCAGGCGATAACCCAGAAACGGAAAGGAGGGATAAGCCCGAAGGTGGTCTCTGCAGGGCAGGCGAGTGTATTGCTCAGCGGAGGCGGGGGTGCGCTAGCGGACATCGGAGCTGTCCGGAAGTCTTCGGGGCTCCGTACTTAGGGAGGCATAGGTAATAAATTGGAATGGGGGGGTGGTGACCATCGAGGGGTACCGAGAGGATTGCGGAATAACGGGGGCTCCGAGGTTAGTGAGGGAGGAGCGGAGTTGGAACGGAGGAATCGGAGGGACCGGAAGTCGATGGCTGGGGATGGATATGACAGGAAGTCTTTGACCATGTGACGGATATGGTCGTTGGAGACTCCGTATCCGTAACAGGTGGGGAACAGGCCGGAATGCACGGCCGTGACAGATGTAAGGAATATGTATTGAAGCCACATTACATCATGTATATACAAGTGTATAAGATGCATGGGTAGGAGGAAAGGCAACTTAGCCTTTACTCCCCCATTAACAATACAGCCTATTACAGCATACTTGTGAGATGGACTGGGAGTGTGAGGCAACCTTAACCATGTGCTTACACTAGTTCCTCAGGCTGTCAACAAAACTAACTTGTATGAAGTTATATTTGCAACAGTTGTGGGAGGAAAGGCTAAATTGCTCTTTCCACTTTCCCACACTATTGTATGTACTTTGTTTATTACAAGACAATTATACAATTATGTAAGTGGGAAATAAGGGGTGGGGTTACCACTCCTTACACTAACTTTCATCAGCAAATCACTGAAGTTGATAGAAATGATAGGAATCATTTTTATTGTGATATCATTCCAGAATGCCCCCTGATTACAAGAGGCCATATTGAGTCAATTTCAACTTAAAATTCAGGGGTGATTGCAGTGATATTTTGGATTTCATGATCTTTATGTACAGTGCATAAATACAAAATGTAAACAAAGTCAAAGGGGCAAGGCCCCAGTTCATCAAAGGATTCTGGGTGTGTGTCAGACATGGGGGGCTTGAGGAATGGTTGGATTCAGGAGTTGTGGGTGTTATAATCACAGCATTGCAGCCCGACCTCTGAGCATGATATCACAGTGTCATTAGATATTGTCATAAATAAAGTACATGATGAGCACACTTGTATACACTTCTGTGTGGTGCAAAGGAACAAAGGCTAAACCTTTAGAACAGGGAAACTTCCCATAAAAGGGAACAATAACCAAAACACAAGGGCATCAGAATGCCACTTCAACAGTGGGATGGTGATTCTGTGAGTTATCAGGTCCCTTAGGTGATGAAGGATTAGTGTGTGAACATGTACTGATGGGTAGCACTCACCAGACATGGCTGAGCAGCTCATACAACCTGTAGTTATGCATAGAGTGCTATGAGTAACTTGGAAAATATGTACTATGAAAGAAACATAAGTGACCTACCTGGAAAACTCCAAGTGATGCATAAGTGCCACATCACCGAGTGAAAAAAAATGTTAAGTCCACAAAGCTATTCATTCGGAGCCAACCTGTGAAGTTGATCAGATGCAAATAGGCATATTTCCTAACCTAGTTGAAGCCATGGTTTCACATATCATGCATGGGAAGGAAAGTACGTAATTCCCGCTACTCCGTAGCGGGTCTTACATTTTTTTTCTCCCAACTCAATTGTCCTATGCACAGGGTCCTGTATGACCCCCAAACCCAGGGTCCATTCTCTGCCCCATACAGTTCTATTCCGCTCATTGCATAGCTGCAGTGTAAATTACATGGTCCTGAAATCAGAGCGAATCTCGGGCTTCGTCTCAGCCAATAGCAACATTGAGAGTGAACACGCATGCGAGGTAAGAGTAGTGGGATCTGCCGCTTCAGTGTACATTGAGATTGTTGTGATTGAGCTGCTTGAGTCTCAATCGACACATAGATTACAATGACAAATAGAAGTGATTAAAGTACTTTTATCAACTTCGGGAGTTTGCTGATGTTCCGTTCTCCTTGCTAATGTAAACACAACAGTGGAGCTTCTTAATTCAATGAACCCCTATCCTTTCAGCATCTCTGCCCACCCTTTTATGATGAACCCGCCATATGGCTCCATCTCACTCACCACTTCACCTAATTGCTGAGATGTGAACAACAGAGATTGCAGGAACGAGTGTGCCGATTGGGGTGATGTCAGCTGGTGTAACTCTAAAGCAACCATAATGCAGCGAAAATAATCACGCCGCGGTGAGGCGGATGAATCAGGGAGAGCTTTTGTAAATAGTCTGTCAATGACACAGAGAAATTGCGAGCCACCTGTTGCAGCATATATGGCAGCGATGACCGCACGGTGTGTGTACCATCCCGACTACAGAAAGAGACGCCGTAAGATGTAGCCACCAAGAGAATTGCCGAATACACACTGGAATATTGGGTGGTGGTTGGGCGATGTAACAAGCCTCATTTGCGATCGCAAACGCATGCTCAAAGGCAGGACGGAAGTTGAGGACCGGGACAAAGGGTGTAGATGAGGATATCATTACTGCGAAAGCCTGGATGTCCAAGGAATTTGACCCTCATCAGCAGCGGATAGGAAGCACAGAAAGCCAAAAAAGCGCTGACGTCCGTCAAGTGGGGCAAGACGTTCTCATTCCAGCGGAGCCTCCTTGATAGCACATCCTCCATACCAAGCACACCACCGGTGCCCGAAGCTGCCAATTTCATGTCTTCGCATCCTTCTTCCATCCAGGCTATCACAAGAGCCTTTGTTGCTTTATCCCCGGGTCCAAAAAGCGCCGAGACAGCGGAGTCGCTCAGGCGAGTTTTTCCATCACTCAAAGAATCGGCTGTTGCGGATAGGGCCAGTGCTTCCCGGGTAAAACCATATGCTGGTACGAGTTTAACCGCGCGCTTCAGAATGGCGCTAGCAGAACTCATGACAGACTCTGACTTAATGAAATCATCCGTGGGAATGTCACAACCTTTCTGACGGGTCACTGCGCAAAAGGGAGTTTATTTGCTTCCTCTGTAACGATGGCTGCACTAACTAATCTGGGGATGAGGATTCAAGAAACCATATCCGAATCAACGCGTGATCTTCCATTCATGGGTCGTTCGCCAAACTTGGAGTTCTTCGACACCGACGAAGACAAAGTCAAGAAGATTAGTCGCCAGTTAGAATCATCATCAGAGAGAGACAAATTGGAGGCCATGAAAAGACTGGTAGCTGTGCGTCGCCTTCGTGCTAGTCTCCTCTGCAACCTAATTTCCTGAGTCTTTACTGCCAGTTAATCTCAAAGGGTCGCAACGTATCTGAGTTCTTCGCCCAGGTTGTGAAAAATGTTGGTTCTAACAGTCTTGAGACACGAAAACTAGTCTATATCTACTTACTGCGATACGCCGGCGTCGAGCCCGATTTGGCGCTTCTCTCCATTAACACCTTCCAAAAAGATCTTGCGGATCCCAATCCGTTGATTCGTGCTATGGCCCTCCGCGTTCTCTCGGGAATACCTGTACCTATTATTAGTTCCCTAGTTGTGCTGGGCATTGGAAAGTGTGCCTCGGATACCAGCCCATATGTGCGAAAAACAGCGGCACTGGCAATCCCCAAGGCTTATGGGTGAGGTAATAACCTTTTGCTACGTTTCTAGATCGCTTATTCCTCAAAAGCCTGGATGCTGCGCAGTTTTCTTCCTTAATGACTATCCTATCCTCGCTTCTTCATGACCGCTCACCTCTGGCGATTGGCGCAGTGGCAGTTGCCTTTAATGCGCTATGTTCAACCAGGCTAGACCTTTTGCATCCTCATTACCGCAGACTTTGCAGAATGCTAGGAGACCTCGATGAATGGGGCCAAATTCAGGTGGTTGCACTATTGACGAGATATGGGAGACGCATGTTCTCAGCTCCGACCGTGAGTGAGTGCGAAACACCAGCATTGCTCGACTGTAACTGTTCATTACAGAAGGAAGGGGACTTAGATGCGGACCTTGGACTGCTCTTAAACTCTGTACATCCGTTGCTTCAAAGCCGGAACCCAGCAGTATGGCAATGGTCTAAATTCAACTTCCAGAGCACCTGATATTGTTCGGTGGACAGGTCGCAATGGCAGCAATACGATCATATTTCTACCTTTCACCGGCCAGTGCTCATTCGAAAGTCATACTGCCGCTTATTTCATTGCTCCATCGTCCGTACGGGATTCGGCATGCGGCTCTCTCAAGCTGTCTCAACATTGCTTCAACGTGCCCGGTTGGTACGCCTCGTCTTATTCCTTTCCCTCTTGGGGCTGATACCTGAATGGCAGGATCTTTTGAGGAAGCACATCACTGAGTTTTTTGTCAAAATTGATGAGCCCAGCGGCGTGAAGCGCCTGAAAGTTAGGATCCTAGTAAGCTTAGCCAACGCAGAGAACACAAACGAGTTGATTGCCGAATTCAAGGTGGGGCGAGACCCCCCCCCTTTTGGTTCTTTTTTTCTTAGCTAACACTCACTAGGACTATGCACGGGACACAGACGATTCGCTCGTTTCGGACTCCATACGCGCCATAGGGCATTGCGCAAAGATTTCCCCTTCCGCAAATGATTCTGCATCCGCTGCCTTTATGAACTTTCTAGAGAGCCCGCAAGGTACGTCCCACTGTGGCCCCATTGCCTGCTGCCTAATTGCGGGTTAATAAGAAAACATGGTGACAAGCTCCATCTTGATGCTGAAATCTCTCTATCAATTCACACCGTCTTCCTCGATATCCGCTTCGTCCAAAGTCATAGCGCGTCTTGCGAGTCGTCTGGATACTGTGACTCATGGCTCTGCCCGTGCGGCCTTAATCTGGCTCGTTGGCCAATATTCTGCATCTTCCAGCGGCGTAACTGTTATTCCTGGTGTTGTTGACTGGGCGCCGGATGTGCTGAGGAAGGTAGCAAAGTCTTTTGCCGCAGAGGTTAGTTTTTGCTCCTAAGCTGAAGTCCTGTTACGATTATTGTATCCATGCCGAACAAACTGAACTACATTGTCACACAGCCGGAAGCCGTTCGATTACAGTGTTTGACACTGGCTGCTAAACTTCTTGCGCTGTCTCCTTCCAATTCCACTCTCGTTCTACTCGCACGATATGTCTTTTCACAAGCTCGGTATGATGTATCATACGATATCCGGGATCGAGCACGAATGCTCGCTGCTATATTGAGGGGTCTTGATCTTCATGAAGATGAAGTCCTTGAAGACGAAAATGAAGGCGATATATGGGAGAGGAAGGATGAAGATGCTGGTGGTGTGAAACTTCGAATTGAACAGGCTCGAGTGGTTTTGTTCGAAGGCAAGGTACATGATCCGCCGAGTCACTTTTTTCGTGCGTAATCCCTACATTTGTTGTATTTCTGTTTGATGGGAATTGACTCTTTTCCTTCTAAACTTCCGAATGTTTTGGCTCGCGATTTTTCTTGGCGGTTGGATGCCATGTGGTGATTCGATTTAGAGGAAATCGAATCAATGAGATTCTATACGCTAGGGACAATGGGAATTGTGGCGAACAAGTCTCTCTACGGATCAGAAGATGCTCAACTTCCAGATTGGACAGCACAAGGAGTCGATTCTCATTTGAGAGATTCACCCGTGCGTTATTTCCTGATTATTCTGCTTGGAGTTTCGCAATTCTTTCGTGCTGGAATACCAGTTGCTCCCGATCTTTTTGGTAGCCTGAATCTGGGTTCGTTTCGCGAGCAACTGAGCGCTCTCTATTGGCTGATCGCTGTCGTTATCGCGTGCCGATAAATGGTGCGAAGTTGGCTGGTTCCCTTCATGCGGCGTTTTTTCATTGCTGTGGTTCATTCCCCCTCAGTTGTGACTTCTCGTCATGCTGATTTGTTCCAGTCGACGTTTATGACGTTATGGTGTCATGCACTTTTTTTGAGGTCATACTCCTGAAGGGATTCATTAAGCCTCAGCGACCTTTACCCAGTGCCGGGCGCCTCGGTTGCGGGCATGACTGCTTTCGTGTCATTGTTTAGTTTTTATTTTTATTTTTTTCATTGCTGGGGATTCTTCCTTACGTTTCGTATCTTACGCTATAATTACGGCACCTGGGATCAGCGCCGCAGCAATCTACACGCAATCTGCCGTGCGCGCTTTTCACATTTGTTGCATTAAATTCTGCTTGTTTCTTATCTCCGTCCGTTTTTTTTCCTTGCTCGCATTCATGTCATTCGAACCCCGTGCTGGTGTTGAACTAACCCTGGGATTAAATAGGAGGACAAAATTGCAGAGAGTGTACCATCGCAGCGGAAACGACTGTCAGGGACAGCTGTGTCTGCTACCGCAACTTTGGAAAGAGTCAGTCGTGGCGTGGGAGAGAAACGAGAGGTGGTGTTAAAACCGATGGGAGAGGGAGCAAAGGAGAAAGAACAGAAGGGTGGAAAAAAGTACGATCTGGAGTCGTTTTACGCGAGTGAGGGCAGCAGTGAAGAGGAGAGTACGGATTTAGGGAGCGAAGAAGACGCGGAGGCCACAGATGAGGAAGATGATGATGATGACGTCGTGGGCATTGTGGAAGGTGATGATGATGACAAGGGTGAAGATGGAAGTGCAAGCAGCGAAGGGGGATCCAGGTTTGTGGACGATGAAAGTGAAGAAGCCAAAGTTGAGGAAGATGGGAAGGGTGGTGGGTTGGGATTCGGATCAGGCTCAAGGTCACCGGGTTTGGAATTGGGGGACGAAGATGCATCGTCGCAGTGGCGGTGAACTGACACGAGGTGGGCTCTAGACTGTGGGCATCAAGCAAGCGCGTTTCCGGCTGTTCCCAGTTACGTGAAGACTTGAAATCAAGCGATTGGGTGATTGTATATGGGGTAGACAGATGAGGCAGTTAGGGAAAGGAGTAACGACATTTTACCAATTAGAATGGATCAATTTTAAGGATCGCGTGGTTGACAAAGTCCTTGTAAAGCGGACATCGATAGGATCTATGGATGTCAATGGGAAGAACGAAAGTAGGTTGATCCGAGAAAACGAGATAGCGGTGATTTGGTTGGGAACTAGGCGATGGTTATCCCGGACGAATGAACTAAGAGGACATAGGATTTTTAATAAAAAAAGTAACTAGGGCGTGTGAGATCGATGTGTATTGGGTTGAGCTGCTTGATAGGGTTAGAAATAGAGGGATTGGAAGGAGGTAAAGAGAAGGAAGCGGAAATAGTAACAGTGAAGATACTAAGTCCAATGTGGATCGGGCCATTTGAATTAGGTGCGTGATTTTGAACTATGCTGAAATAGACGGGTCTGGGCCATATCCAGGTTTTACAATGGAGGAAGTTGAGGATTGGGTTAATGGTGGGGGTGGTCGCAGTTGGTGTCGAAGAGGCTCAAAGCGGGAGCATGTGTGCAAAAAATGCGTTCGATTACATAATACGGTCCAGTCATGAATTGAATATATTCTTGTTTTCACATGGTACTTAATCCTTGGTGAATGCACATGCAACCTAATTGAATTGGGTTGAACCAATCACGGTCTTTCACTCACGACTTTCTCCTTCCTCTCTCTTCCAATCGTCATTTACAGCAAACAGAACATTTCCTAATTATTACTCTTCCATTCGTCCTTGTGCTCGCGGTATCTTCAAACCCCACCCTCCATCCCCATATTCGTCACCAATTCCTTCACCCAACCCAGTCCTCCCTCCCTCACCACCACCGCCATGCTTTCGTTCGTCCTGACCAGCGTGTCAGCCGGTGAGTGATATCCATCCCTTCTCACACAATGCTGACGCTTCGTCACCTACCCCTCGTACCCAATCCCCGTCCTTCGTCATCAAAACGTACCAAACATCCCACTCCAACTCCCCTGCCTACCCCGCTACGCTCTCACCCCCCATACGACCTCGTCATTTCCCCCTCCGGGTTCCTTAACCTTATCTCTCCTTCTCCGACTCTCATTCCATTGCACACTTGCATCGTGGCCCTTATCATATACCTCATCACATCCGTTCAATCTTCGCCAGCAAAAGAGTATAGTCCCTTTGGGCGCTCGACTCGAATCACTCCCCTTCCTCCACTTGATGACTCCGAACCTGATTTCCACTCCAGCCCTTCGAGAGCACTCAAGCAGAACCCTACTGTCTTTCAATCATTCAGTTCAGCTTTGAATGATTTCCCTTCCTTCTCATCCACCTCTGTCGGTGGGACGCGACAAGAGGATTCGACCGAGGACCGTTACACGGTGATACATGATATCTTGAGATGCACGGATCTCTATGCCGTGTTGGATGTTGACAAAAGTGTAGATGCCAATGGTTTACGGAGGGGATATATGAAGAGATGCAAGGCTTGCCATCCCGAGTGAGGAACTCGCTTTCTTTTCCATTCCGCGTTCGTTAAATGCTGACATGAACGCTTTCTTTCTCCCCTCGCATCCCTCCGGATCCTATACCACGCGGGACGCTTGACACATTCACAATCTGATCACATCCAACATCCATTACTCACACTCAGCAAATTCCCATCATACCCACTTGCAACAGTCGCTTTTCAAAAAGTCTCCTTTGCCTACGAGACCCTTTCGACTCCTTCGTCTAGACGACTGTACGATGCTCACGTAGCGGCCGATAACACTTTCAATTTCTTTCACCATCAATCCGGCGGGACAGGAGGGTTTGCATCATACAAGGCTGCGGACGAGACCCTCACTGGCGTACTTGTCGGCGTGTTTTGTGATTTCATGGAGGGCGACTTCGGAATGTTGAGGACATTTTTGAGTGAGTACTGACAACTTGAGTGGTTAGTGGTCAGAAGGCCCGTTTCAACCTGTCATTTCTTCCTCTTCGATAGGAGCTATGAATGAGCTGAACCCCGCGCTGAATATTTCGGATGACACGATCGAGTCGGTCATCCGCAGTTTTGCACGGTTACGAGAAATACTGCTAAGTATGCCGCAGCCATCAACCTTCACTTAGCCTCTCATCTCACAAACAATTTCAACACTCTTCAGCCGGTCAGAAATACGTCCAAATCGTTCGCTTCGAACTGATTCGCTTGTACGAAATTCAACACTCGCTGAGACAACTATCGTACTTTGACGTGTGCGGGCGGCTAAGATTGACCCTGCAGCTCGCGAGGGTAACGCTCAGCTTACCATGTCGAATAGATAGGGCCATGATAGAGGAGGCGGAGGAAGAGGAAAGGAGGATGGCCGCCGCTGCGGGCATGAATGCCCATCATGCCAACGGGAATTGTTTTGGCAGAACGGACGGTGAATGTGAGGAGTGCTCGGGAAAAGCAGGTGGGAGTAGAAGAGGGAGGCCGAGACGGAGAGGGCTGTTGCACCCGAGTGTCAACTCTGTCCTTGTCTCCGTCTGCGGAGTTTTGGAGTACGGGGAGAGGGCGTTATGAGGGCGTGCGTATGCTTTGGCCCCTGCTCAACGTCCTCATCGAGTTTTCGACTTTCCCAGAACTGGTTGCTGGTCGATATCTCCCCTCTCTGCTTGGCAATCAGGTCCTCGTAGCTGTCTCCGGGCGGTGCCTGTTCCGTGTCCTCCGGTATCGTTCGCTGCGCCGTTCCCCTCCCTTTTGCACTTTCTCGTCGGGCTAACTCACCCGGCGCACCGGTCATACACTTGTCGTCGTCAATATCAGGTTTCGGCTGGCTCTGTTTCACGACGTGCCATCATCAAACAATCCATAGATTACTCTTTACATTATTCTTTTCGTCAGTCGACCTCCCACGCGATCTAATTACTGGTACTACCGCCTCCGTGCTTCTACGTCCCACAATGAGTTATCGCTATCTTCGTGCGGAACGTCCTGCCGTCAAACCTCTTGCGCTTGATCTCGATCGACGACAGATAACTCGGGCCCGAGATTTTCGCTTCTCGTTGTTCATGTTCCGGATCCGAGGTCTTCAATAAACCTGTACGCGAGCGACGCGGGATCGGGGTGGAAGTGCTAAAGGTTGAATTGTAGGAAATGAAATGAACCCTAATCTTCCCAGCTCGAATTGGAGCTCACAGTTTGGCTCCGTCATCAATCCGCTTTCACGATGTATATCGTGTCCGTATTGGATTCATCTCCTGTTCATATCGCGAGCTGAGTGGTAGCTGCTGTTTTGCTCAATCTTAGTGGTTGACCAGGCGCTAGGCGAGCAAGTGGCTGACTCAGCTCACATTCTGGGATACATGTTACCCAATGACCCGGGCTCCTGCATTCATCCCAGTGTCCTTTGCTTTTCTCCCCATTCGAATTTTCTGCCGCTGCTCGTCCTCGGGCGCGACCTCTTATTCGAACCCTGTAGAGTTGGTTTCTTTTTATGGCGTGCTTCCGACTTCGGTGGCTGTGAAGGATCTATGCAGGAGGACTTCCTGGAAGAATATCATACGAGAATCGATCAGTATCGGTGCATGACATGACAACTTGGCTGTGAATAGTCGGGCCGACTTCATCTTTCATCTTTTATCGTGTGGTGCTGGAAATGCCTTGAGATGGACGACGACGGTGCGATGGTGCTGAGACGCTGCGACGCTCCAGCTGGTGGTTTCTCGGGATAGTCAGCCGGCATGTCCCACCGAGGTAGGCGGCTAGATGGATGTGTGCAAGTAGTTTTCGGGTGTGGTTCTTCCACAGCACGATTCATTAAGAGTTCCTATCGGCTTCCACTCGAGGATCGCAGTGTGGGCCTGCATCGACGACTTGATTAGGCTTCCCTTCGATCAACTTCGTATATTACTTCTGCGGGAATTTGGTTGGAAAGAGAATTGGATAGCCATGTCTGTTTTTCTCGCGTGCGTTTCTTCCGTGGCTAATGTGTCTCGGCTTCGTTTCATCTCTAAGCCAATGTCACCAACGGAGAGGAATGATATCTATTGCGGCTGGGAGTGTCAAGCTCATGCACAACGTGTCATCTACCTTTTGTACCTGCATGTGAATTGTGGCGGCCCGGGAGCCCCTTGTTCAGAGCGTGGAATTTGGGAGGTGAATATGCAGGGCTCTTCTACGAAATGCTGTGTTCTTCGCGAGTGCGGTGCGTCGTTCCGGTCTTAGAGTACGTTCATCGCGAACTACCACCCAGCACGGAGCCGTCCTTTCACTTTGTCCTTTTCGTTGGGCTCATGGCTCTGCATCCTACCTCCGCAATGCTACAGCGTTAATTCTGAATCCAAGCATCGCTGGATATGTTTCCTGCGGCACTCCTCCCTTTGTCCTCACACCAATGATGGGCTCTGAGGAAATCTCGTGCAGTTTGCGTGCGTGGGAGTATCCACGAACGTGCATGCCAGCCCTATTCGGCGAGACGAACCGATTAATTGACCGCATCGAGCGGATATGTGAATGCTGAAAGTTTCACGTCCCTCCATTCCCTGGATCATCCATGCACGGAAGCCCCATTGTCCTGACGGTTACCCACGGCCGTTAAATGGGGCCCGGAACCTGTGCCACGCATCTTATTTCCAGTGATCGTAGCACTCGCCTCCGGGTCGCATAGAGTCAGGCTGCACTATAGTGCATCCGAGGCCTAAGACCAATGACTTTCATTCCGATTAGAACTATTCCGTGCCACCAGGCCAATCTCTCAGCATAAGTGATCTCGATAATTGGTGGTGTTGGGACTCAAATAGTTAGACACAAATCATTCCAAGTCCACATTTTAGGTGGATGCCTGTGGGCATGAATATCGGCCTTTGACCCAATTGCAAGTTTCATGAATGCGATTTAGTGAAGAACTGGTGCATGTGCATTCAACCTTCAATAAGTCGTTGCACAGCTTCAGATGCCCAGTCTAAGTGCTTTCAATGTCCATAGAGGTGGTTGCATGTTATGTGCCATTCATGCATTTCTGCTGTGCTGTGAACCATAATTCAAGGGAAGGTAATTTAACTGCAGGTGTGAGTGAGCTTCAATGCCCCAAACAAATGGATTCAATTATAAAACAACCCTAGGAATGCTTAATGCAGGGTGTTAGAGAATGGACTTGGAGGGTCCTTGGCCTCAGTGACTCAGGTGGAGCACTGTGCCATTACTGGTTGTCCTGGGGTCTTTAATTTTGGATCTAGCAAAGGGAAGTCTCAAGGGGGAAATCTTGTTGATTTCTGACTGGTGTTACAAGTAATTAGTTACATTGTATACAGTAATTGACCACTCAATGCATTTGCTTTTCCCCCCCATGTTCCCATGGCCCCCAATGATGAAGCACACATCAGGTGGGTTTCAAACTGGCACAGTCCATAGATTACTGTACTGGCATGACCAACAACCAGCTGGGTTGGGAGTGTGACAAAGATTTTGCTCAGACATTCTGACCAGCATGGCTGCATGATGCATGACAGCCAACCAGCAACCTTGGGAACCCCATGACACAGCCCAGCCCTGGGGTGTTTTATATCCGTGAAATATGCAGAAAATTTTCATTCTGTCCTGCCTTTCAAGTCCTACTGCTCATTATGGATGTGTCAGAGACCAGGTTTGAGACGAAGGAAAGTCTCCATGGTGGAGGGCTTCAGCCTCAGCGACTTATGCCAAGAGTGCTGTGCCTAGTAACACGTCCATGCCCTAACTTACTAACTGGCAACCAGAACTGAAGGGGGTTAACTCTAGTCGATTTTATTACTGAAGTGTAACCTATGTACAAGTTGGATATATATATGGTTACAGCGAAGACGGGTCCGCAAATGGTGGAGCCGAACGGAGCGGAGCTAAGGGGTTAAACATTAGCCGACTGAATATTACCGACAAGTCGGGTCATGGGGTTAATGGAAAGGCAGGCGATAACCCAGAAACGGAAAGGAGGGATAGGCCCGAAGGTGGGCTCTGCAGGGCAGGCGAGTGTATTGCCCAGCGGAGGTGGGAGTGTGCTAGCAGACGTCGGAGCTGTCTGGAAGTCTTCGGGGCTCCATACTTAGGGAGGCATAGGTAATAAATTGAAAGGAGGGGGTGATGACCATCGAGGGGTACTGAGGGGATTGTGGAATACGGGAGCTCCGAGGTTAGTGAAGGAGCAGAGGTAGACTGGAGGGATCGGAGGGACTGGAAGTCGATGGCTGGGGATGGATATGACACTGACCGAGTATTCCATTGGTCGAATATGCAGCCGAAGCTTGCATCATTTCTGGAGGCAATTGGCCTCGGGGCGCATTGGGGTTATAAACCCACATATTCTTCCCAAAATTAGGAAAAGATGGGCCCATTGCAGCTGTCATCATATCCGGGACATAGTTTTGCCCCACTTGACCCATCATTTGGGTGTCTAATGGTGGGCAAGCCACTTGGGTTTGAGGTGGAATGTACTCACCATGGATAGGTGAGGGGTGGCCCGATACTGATGGTATCAGCTGTTGCTTTGTAGTCTGAGTGTCGGGAGCGCCATTAGGGTCTGATGGGTGATTGCCAGATATTGATGGCTGTTGCCTGGGGAGCATGTTCGATTCAGGTAGGTCGGCATCCATTGCACCACTAGTAACCGAGGGGCTTTGCCTGCGGTTATTTGAGTCATCCTTATCTTTGTCAAAGACGCTGTAGGGGTGGTGGTCACAGACACCCCAGAACAGGCGATATATTGGGTCTCACATGCAGGATAAAATGTTAGAAAACCCTACAGTGGAAGGTTGACTAGGAATTAGGTGATGAGGTTATAGTATGGATGGTAGAGGACATCAAGGTGATTCCGACGCACGTTACACGAGGAGAATCGGTGAGGAATTGACAGAGATATGCAGATTTCAGTTGTGTATCGCGATGCATGTCACATGTTCATTGTGCACACGTGGGAAATGGGGTGCACAGATGGTCCCTGGCATCCCTCAGGCTTCAGAAAAATAGGGACAAATATTCATTGTTCATGATATGACTGGTCGGGAGGATGTGCCAATTTTGGGACCATGGCGACATGTGGTTGGAAAGTTAGGGAAAATGTGCCGGATATTCCCCACCTCAATGCCATCTCACTCAATTCTCCATCAAATTGGATGTGGTTTGTTGCGTTGGATAGCTGTAGTTTAGGCGAGTTGGTTGACATGACGGGAGCGCAGTTGTGTTGAGTGGTTTGGGCTGGAGATGCAGGTTAGGTTTTCTGTGGCCACTTTCTATTGTTTTATATTTTGTTGCTTGTGATATTGTGTTTCCTATTCTATTTTCTCTTGCGACGTGACCAGATGAGTCATATGGAACATGCTGGAAGCTCGCAGACGTGTTTTCAGGGTCGTTTGTATATAATATTAGCTAGTTACATTTGTAACAGAGATTTCCCCTCCACTATGTTTAGATCTGGTCACAAGTGAAGTGTGCTGGAGGCATGGTCAAGTGCAGTAGTCTTGAGGGAGGCTGTTACACCGCTTAGCCATGTGACTCTATGTACACCGTTGTTACATCAGACTTGGGGTTCAGGGCTATTGCCCTGATGTAAGGAAGGGAGGCTGCATATGTGCCTCCTCCTAACTCTTTTACTTTCCCTTAACTCTTGTTATCACTTGTAACATAGTATATTATAATCAGTTTGTAACTTCGTGCAACAGTGCTACATTATTGTACATACTCGGAGACCCTGCAAGCCACATAGGCTGCATGTGCTCTTCCCCCATGTATATAAACCTTGCATGTGGGCGAGTTAAGGCTTTACAGCCTTTACTCCCCTGTTGATTATACAGCCTATTATAGCATATCTCTGATGGACTGGGAGTGTGAGGCTGTCATATCCATACATACTCGATCCTGAACCGACTCCTGGACCTCCATCTTCACCACCTCCGGAGTCCTACCCTACCGCTGTCCATTCCGATATTCACTTTCGGTCTGACACCACACCACCCCTCACTCCTCATGCCACCTCCACCCTCCCATCCTTCTCCTACCCTATCTCCGTTCGCTCTGATACTCATCTCGGACCAAACATCACTCCTCTCACTCCTCCTCCTACTCCTCCTCATGACACCTCCACCCTTCCGTCACTCTCCTACCCTTCTCCCATCCGCTCCGACACTCACCTTCAGACCTGACACCTTCCCTCTCCTCCACTCCTCACCCCTTTCCTCTCTCCTCTCTCTTCCCTCTGACCCTCTTCCACCGACCCTCTGCCAAGTTACGACCTTCCACTGCTGTCCCATACCCTGTACTCGGACACTGCTTGTACCTTCGCTCTGAGACTCCGTCATAGTTCCTACCTCGGACTTTGACCCCACCTCGGCTTTAGTCCATTGCATTGGTGACCTCATACTACGTAAACACCATTGCCAATATTCCTTGGACTTTCAACCCTGCCTCCATAACCTCTGTAAGCTCCGCAACCTCCGAGCTCCATGGATCATCTTCAGCACTTTCACCACTTGTAATGTATCTTTCGTGTTTTCCCCTCATCCCTATTTGGACTGCTGCTTCTTCCCATTCTAGCCAGTTAGTCATCATCCCCACTTCCCCTCATCCTCCTGCCCCTTTGGGCTTCACCCTCCTTACCTCCTTTCAGATGTACCACAGGTTCTGCCCTATGACCTTCAGTACCACTCCGCTTCTGTCATCCCTTTGTTCCCGTTCGGACGCCTTCGTTCCGATTTGGACCCCCTTTGTTTCCTTGTGCTTTTGCCCTCTCCATTATATATATCGGCACTTGTACATACTTGTTTTAGGCCTCTAGTCCAAAATCGACCTGAAATGCCCCCAAGAGACTTTCCCTCTGCTAGATCCGAAATTAGGGACCCCCAGGACAACCAGCAATGGCACAGCACTCCACCTGAGTCGCTGAGGCCAAGGTCCTTCCACGCTAAGTCTCCGATTCCACTCCGGAGTCATCCGAATCCACCCATTCTCACAGAGGTGATACTCACAACCATCTTAACATCTTACACTTTTTTTACGCTCAGTGGGTTGAATATCAACAACCCCTGCATTAACCAAAGCTTCCATTTGATCGACGTCACAAAGCACACTGATCAGCTCATCAGAACCAGCTTTCGGAGTCCTCATGCCACCCAAGAGAGCTCCAGGTTCTCCCTCTGCAAAGAGGACAAGATTGAATGCATGTAATGTCATGCAGACAGTGGATAGCGCCAAGGGCGCTAGAAGCAGTCCCCCAAATGTCCCTCCCAATCCTGGCGCAACTCCAGGGCCCCAAGAAGGCCTGGATATGCCGGGTCCAGATCAACCTAGCACTTCAAATGCGCTAGGTATAGAAGCACCTTCTCTTCCTGAGAAGGACTCTGTCAGGGCACACCCGCCTCACCCGGCTCCACCTGGCTCCACTCCACTCACTACCCCCTTCTCCCCTTCCTATTTCCTCCTCCCTCCACTTTCCCCTCTTCCTATTTCTTCTCTGTATCATTCTCTATTCTTTCTATTTCTATTTACACAGACGACTTTCCTTGCTCGATGTACTACTAACCTGCCCACAACCCACATGCGATGCACCCAGCCTCAGATGCTCTGGACGACCCCCAGGTGCACCCAGCACGTGCGCCTGCAGCGGATCCCTTTGGGATCCCCCATGGGGATACCCGGGTGGCTGGGGCTGTGCATGGGGACAATGTGGCAACTCTCATGTGACCCAAGCACCATGTATATAAACATACCTGGTGGGAACCAGAGAAGCGGTCTTCTTCTCACCATTCCCACTTCAGGGACATTTGCCTGTGCCGGGCCCGTTGCCATACGTGCCCGCTTCATACCCCACCGGGCCCTCAGCGCCAGACAATATACCCAGACGCTCTCGACCCCAGACCAGTCCCTGACAGACCTGTTAGAATGCAGGGATTTGGACGACTCCGGAATGGAATCGGAGACTTAGCATGGAAGGACCTTGGCCTCAGCGACTCAGGCGGAGCGCTGTGCCATTGCTGGTTGTCCTAGGGGTCCCTAATTTCGGATCTAGCAGAGGGAAAGTCTCTTGGGGGAATTCATGTCGATTTCGGACTGAGGTTACAAGTTACTATGTACATTGTATATATGGAGGGGTCCGGAATCAAAAGGAGCGAGGGTAGGACGAAAGGAGACAAAGGGAGATGGAAAGAGGAACAACACCGAGGGTCAAGGGTTTGACTCAATGGTGTTTCTCAAAGGAGGAATGAAGGGCCAAGGCCCAAGGAGGAAGGAAGGAGGTTGGGAGTGGGGAATGGCTAGCTGACTGAATAGGAAGGAAGCAGCAGCCCAAATAGGAATGAGGGAGAATAGCGGAGTTGAATAGGACAATGCAATAGTTGCAAGGTCCGAGGTAAGTCCGGAAAGTCCGAACTCGGAAGTTAAACTCCGGAATATTGGCAAAGGTAATTAAATGGAATGGGCTAACCAATACAATGGGTATAAGCGGAGGTGGGGTCAAAGTCCGAGGTCGGAGCTAAGACCGGAGGTTCCGGAGACGAGATGTGAACGGGATACTGGAGCGGAGGTCCGGAGTCGGGAGCATAGGTTTTGCGTACTCATCTGGAAGGTGTCGAGGTTGGGGTCGGACCCGGAATGTTCCGGAGTCGGACCGAAGGTGGTGTCCGAGCCGGAGGTGGGATAACCTCTTGGGAGTCGGCAAGGAGAAGGTGACGGAAGGGAAGTAGGGCTCCGGAAGTCGGAGTGCGGAGTTCCGGGAGCCCGGAGCGGAGGTCGGGATTGTATGGATATGACAAGCTCAAAGAAATCATGCAGACGTTGATGAGCCTAGTGGCTCGAACCAACATAACAGATGATAGGCTTGATCGCCTATACACGCAAGTCGGGATCACTCTAGCACGTCTCGTGAAGAATGATGAGGACCTCGAAGAGGTAAAGGCAGGACTTATTCGTCCCAACCTAGAGTTGGTACAACACCAACCCCCAATTAATATGCCTCAACTTGGGGCGCCTAGTGCATTCTCGCTTGAGCACGTTGTTGCTCAAGAACAGGAACCAAACCATCAGGGAAACCAGATGGATGAAGATGACATAGTCGTAGTTGACAACAACTACATACAAACTACTAAGTTCATCCCCATGCCAGGACACCCCAGTGTGAGGATGATGATGATCGTCCCTCACCATGAGGAGTCTGAACTGGGAAACACGATGAACTTGTTGCCCAAGAGGATCCCTTCCCATCTGAAGGGGAAAGCTGTTGACTGGGGCCCCACAGGCCCTCCTTTCTCCCTGAGGCGAACTCAAACGTCGCCTAGGTCGCTCCCTAATAATGAGGAGGAGCCTGCCGTCCTTATTAGTTCGATGGATGAAGGTGACGTTGATCAAGACGTTCCTCAGTCCCGGACCCTTAGACATGGGTCCGGACGAGCCCTCATTATTAACAGAGAAGGCGAGATAAAAAGGAAACAAAGGACTATCTTTGCTCCTCGTGCCCATAGTGAAATGTTCAATTGAATATGGAATGCAGATAGACGGCGATGCCGACTATGTGCACAAACCAGAAGGATTAGATGCCCATGCACGGGAAATCAAACATAGGCTTAATTCCTACAGCCAATTTACTGCGCCAGACCCACGCAACAGG